TCCACAGGCAATGGTGGGTGGGTGGCAGGGGAACCGGGGAACCAGGGCGGGAACCAGGAAGGCCTCTTCGGGGCCCTCCGCCGTGCTGGCCGGCCGTGTGACTTCAGACTCCCCGGAAGCTCTCAGAGCCTGGGGCTTCATCTGTCAAAGGGGATAAGAACACCTGCCCAAAATAACTCAGAAAATTGTTATGAGATGATGAACACAAACAGCTATTTGGGAAAAGATCCCCGATGCTTATACAGTTAACATTGTGCAAATTACACAGTCACCCTTGAATCTTGGGGAATATGGTGAGCCAAAGCATAAATGAATAGCCCTTTGTGTGTAAAATTCTCATCCATTCACCAGCATTCATTGGGCACTTGTGGCATTCAGGCTGCCTGGATTCACTTCCCAGCCCCACCTCTTACCAGGCGGCACTTTGGGAAAGTTACCTAACCTCTCGGTGCCTCCACGTCCACCTCTGTGAAATGGGGGTAATGACAGGACCTCCCTCATGGGGCTTCTGTAAGGATTAAAGGAGATAATGGGAGCAAAGTGCTTACAACAGTGCTTGGCTCTCGGTGTTGGCTACTGAGAGGATGACAGTCACACACCCGGCGAGGCACTAGGAGTACAAAGAGAATGAGGACAATGCAGGAGCAGTCCCGGTCCAGCAGGAGAATGGACCAGTAAACAAACAATGGCCGATGCCATGTATTAAGTATAGTCATAGAGCGTAGGAACTGTAAGGACAGAAGAGGGAGCTCCTGGAGTGTGCTCCCTGCAAGGAAGGCTGTCTTGCTTTCATCCCATTGTCCCTCCTGCCCCGCTGGCTCTCTTCTACCCTGGCTGCATCTGAAGCCCAGGGTGAGGCCTGCGGAGGAAGCGCCTCTCAGTGCCCTGAGTGCAATGCGCTACATCAGGGCTCCTGGCCAAGGCTGTAATTGCCAGCCGCTGAAAGATATTAAATGCCAGGGAGGAAAACCAAGTTCTCTATGAGGCCGACTTTTCAGAGTCCTTACAGCTTGTAAAAAAAAAAAAAAAATGTAAATAGTTACCCAGTGAGATATTATTTCATGTTGTTGCCATTAGGGTGTGAGTGTTATGCAGAGAGAGGCGATCATTCAGGCAGTTCTGCCTCAGCAAGGACTGAAAACTCCACATTAACCCCACACAACAAATCTACTGCCTCTATCTCTCAACCTGACTCAGGCATTTTTTCCTGGGTGGTGAATTTTATGTAAATTGAAGTAGTGAAAAAAAATCTATAAATATTCAGAATTTCCTAACAGATTTTCTTGATGGCTTCTGGGGGGCATTTTTTTAAAAAGACACATTTGACTGGAGGCTCGGGGAAGGAAACTTGCTGCGGTGGCCTGCTGGGACAGCTTAGGGTCTCCTGGTCGGCTGCCAGTGCTGAGAGCCTCTGGATCCGGTGGCTGCCTTGACTGTTCTCTGGAGCAATTGCCCCGCAAATGCAGGTCGTCTGTCACAGCCTTCTTTACCTGGGACTTTCTTTGTGCCAAGCACTAAATGTGTGACATGCATTGTCTGCTTTGGGCCTCCCACCTCTGAGGTAGCCACTCTTACATTCTACACACAAGAAAACCAAAGCTGAGTGAGGCGAACTTGCCCAGGACAAGCATGACAGCATGGGTCAGAGGCCGGGATCCCAGAGATGCCCGACCCCAAGTGCCACTGCCTGGTCATGCCACTTCGGGTAAGGGACAAACCTCGCCTTGCCTCACTTTCTCCAGCTGTAAATAGGAGTGAGAACCACAGCATCGGATGCTGATGAAGGGCCCGGCACACAGAATTGCTGTTCTTCACTGCTATAGACGGGGGGTGTTCTCTAGCCGCCCTCACTCCTGCCCTTGTCTGATGGTGCTGCTCACTCACGGGACTATCTAAGAAAGGGCTGGAGAGAGGGAGGCCCCTGAACCACGCATCTGCTGCTTTTCTGCAAGCAAGAACGTGTGCCACACGCCCTGTCCCTGAACAACATCGTCTTGCACAGACTGTTCCACCACAGGCCTAGCACAATTCTCTGCCCTCAAGCGGCCCTCCATAAACTTGACCCAACTGAAGCCGGAGTCTTTATTCTCTCCCAAGTCACAAGCCATTCCTCTAAAAACCACCCTTTCTTTAGGCCACTGGGACCCCATTGAGGACTCTGTGTATGTTAGCATTTCAGCTAAGTCATTGTCAAATACTGATTGTAGTAATTGTCTAGTCGTGATTTAATTTGGCCTCTGGTCTGTCTTAGTACGTTGTCCATTTTCTCTCCAAAGGCGACGGGGTGTATCCAGCCAAAAGAGCCCTGAGGCCCTCACCAGCACCCCAAAGGAAAGGTGTCCCCCCTCCCTTGCTAGCGCTTTCCAGGAAGGGAGACGAAAACAGGCCTGGTCTCTGCCCCAGCACTGCCTGGCACCCACTGCTCCTATCAGGGAATTCTGCTGTGCGGTAAGGGAGTGGGGCTGCTTCTTAAGTGTGATACATTATCAGCTAAGCAAGTTCCTCATCCTGCACCGGAGCCTGGCCATCCTGTGCTCATCTCCTCCTGTCTCCCTTCCCTTCAGTCATTCACTGCCTTTTTCTTCTCTTTTCCTCTCCAGGTAAAGAATCAATATTTTATCCTTCTCCATGCTCCTCCGCTGTCCCTCTGTTCTTTCTGCTACCTCCTGTCTCTCTTTTCCTTCCTAATTCCCAAATACCTTTTCTCTCTCTCCACTCCCCTTTGCTCCCAACTGAGTTCCCATTAATCATTCCTAACACACATCTGCTTGGGTCCTAGAAGGACTTCTTGGCTGGCTCTCGCAGCTGGGTTCGTTACAACAATCAAGAAGGAGCCTTTCATCTTTTAACTGCCTCCTAGGTCTCCCATCTCCCTGGAGGAGCTCATCCTCCTCCAAGGTGCCTACCCTCTTCCATTCTGTCAAGCTGTCCTCTGCTTTTTTTCTGCATAGCAGCCTCCTAAAGACCAAATGGCCCTAAAGGTTGAAGCAGCCCTGCAGTGAACCTTTAAAGGTAGGCACTGGCAGGAAAGTCAGAACGCACAGAGGCTGGTATGAGAAGAGGCTGCAGGAGGGAAGCTAGAGACCCCCACAGGAAAGTGAATGGGGTCACCGCCCCCCCTTCTACTACCCCCCTCACTGCAACATGGAAGACATCTCTCAGTCGGAGCATCCCTTGGAATTCCTTCTAACTTGATTTTACCCGGATTAAAGTGGAGTTGGAAAAGCCAGTGGAATTTCTGAGAGGCCTATACAAACTGCTCGAAACACAGCACAGATCCAAGAGTACGTTTGATTTAGTCTCCGATTGAAATGGCCTGGGAATGGTGACTGCTGTCTTCCTCACTGAGCATGATAAAGGTTCAGGATTGCTATTTATTATCTCTGGGGTAGTTTTTTCTTTCTCTTTGAAGACCCCTTCGTGAAATCACCTATCTTGGGTTCTCCTGCTGTCTCAAGATGCAAATCAAGACTGCAGAGTCAGGGACAGGTAGTCCTGGAGCAATACGCCCCGAGTGACAGGCCTGACAATCAGAGTGACGGATTGGGGAGGAAAAGTGGTCCTCGAAGTGAGGCAGTGACACCAGCGCGCCTCCACTGGCCGCCGGGAGCACGGAGACGCGGTCTCTCCAGAGGCCGGCGCACAAAGAACCAGCTTCATCTTCTGATGATCCGCGGATGAGAACTTTAATGTCAGAACTATGACTCTGTAAAATCTTTGCCAAGTGCGAAGCTGGCAATGCACACTCTATCCGAAAGACGCAGGGAAGGTGAAAGGATACAAGAGTGCATTGTTATTTTTAATAAAGTTTTTATTCCGAACTTTTCCCAGGAAAAGGTAGTGTGCATTTTTCCCCGCGAGAAGAAAAGGAGGGGGCGGGGGAGAGGAGTCGTAGCTCTAGAGTTTGCATCGACGTGCAGCACTTAGAGAGATCCCCAACTCCTCTGGGACACTGGCCTCTCCAGTGGTCGCAGGTCCTCCCAACATAGAAGCTAGGTGCGGTACAGTGAGGGAATTTTAAGCCTCTAAACAGGGCACGAGAAGAAACCTGAAACACTCGAACACCGAACCTATAAATCAGTGCGCAGACACCGCGCGCCAGGCGCGTCCGGGTGGCGCGCACAGCCTACGGTACACACCTCATCTGAACCACCTCCCCGGGAGAGGAGTCCTCAAACTTGCAGGCTAAGGACAGGATGGGCTCCAAGTTGCTGGAGCGGCTGAGGCCCCGTCCCGAGAACCAAGGATGCCTCCGAGGCTCGGGCGCTTCCAAGTGAGTACACCCGGGAGAAGCCAATTCGGAGAACAGAACTGGACGCGATCAGAGCCCGAGCAGAGCCCAAGCAAGGCCGAAGCGGGGCTGGGGCTCTGGAGGCGCGGCCCGCCCCCAGGCGGCCTTCGCGAGAGGCTTAGGCTCAGCAGTACCGGAGCCAGCGCCGTGCGCTCCTACCCCGCACCCAGACACACTCGGCCGGCGGAAGACTGCCCCCGCCAGCACCTCCACCCCGGTGGTGTGAAGGAAGAGTGGAGAGAGAGAGACAGGAAAGCCAGCGGAGGATAGGGCGCAGAGCCCAGGATCCCAGTGTGGGACACCCGAGCAAAGGCAGCGCAGCTGGGGGGAGGGGAGAAGTACAGTGGGTGGTAAAGGCCGAGGCGACCGCGGCGCACGGGCGAGGCCCCTTTAAGGCTCTCCCCTCCCACAGGCGGTGCTGGCCTCCGCCTCCGCCCCCGCTCTCCCCGCCCCGGGGTCCCGGCGAGAGCTGCGATTGGGCGGGTGCGGCGATCCCTTTGAAGTGTGGCTGCCGATCGCGGCTATTTGACGTGCGGCTCGCGGAAGGCGAAGGTTTTTGTGTTGCTGTCCCCGGCTGGTGGTGGCGGCGGCGGCGGCGGCGTCGGTGGAGGAGGGGTGGAGGCGCGGCGACTGCTGCACCGCGCTCCACGCTGCGGAGCGCGCCCACCCGCCCCGGGAGCTCGCCTCCCCGGTGCTGCCCCTCCCTCCCCGCCCCCCCAGTGGCGCTGCCCCCTCCAAATGAGCGATTCGCCCGCTGGATCTAACCCAAGGACACCCGAAAGCAGCGGCAGCGGCAGCGGCGGCGGCGGGAAGAGGCCGGCGGGGCCGGCAGCGGTGTCCCTCCTGCCACCGGCGGACCCCCTGCGCCAGGCGAACCGGCTCCCTATCAGGGTCCTGAAGATGCTGAGCGCTCACACCGGCCACCTCCTGCATCCGGAGTACCTGCAGCCGCTGTCTTCCACTCCCGTCAGCCCCATTGAGGTCAGTACCTTGGTCTCCGCCCGCCCAGCGCCGTCCCCATTCCGCCCACCGCTGCCGGGCCCACGGCCCTACACCCTGCGCCCCGGGGCTCGGCGCGACGCTCGGGTCCGGCCACACTGGCGGACGGACTGAGGAGGGACCGAGGACGGAGGGATCATAGCCCACTCGGTTCTACCCAGGTTTCTCTGTGGAAGGTTCCCCTTCCACGGTCGCCCTTCGGAGCTCCGTGTTTTGTCTTGGATTGGGTTTGCTGTTGGAGTCTCCACTGGGTCCTTTACTTTTCCGCGGCACCCAGTTCTAGGCCAGAGATGATCTCTCCTGGGCTCCCCCGCCCCCGACCCACCCACCCACCGCCCCAACCTGGGTGTGTTTTCTTTGAATCCCGGATCGCCCCCGACCCACCCCGCCTCTGTCCCATCTCGTTAGAGCGCTCGACTCCCGGACACTCCCGATCCCAGGTCTTTCTTCCTCCCACTCGCCTGGGTGCCCTCCGGAGAGGGAGGGGCTCCTGAGGAGCGCCGCCCGCAGCCCCAGCCTCAGAACGTCTTCTCCCCGCTTCTCCCCTGGCGCCACCGCCGGAAACCCGTCCCAAGCGAAGTTCCCCAAACTGAAGGAATAAGTTTTTCCTTGGGCTTAGAGGAGGGGGGAGATTAGAAGGAAGGGGGCAAGTCGCAGCTCCGACTCCAGAGAAGCCCCCCTCGCCCGCTGTGGTGGACTCCTTCCACTGCCCCGTTCCCCAGGGCCTGTGGCGCACTCCGGGACCCGGCGCCGCGGGGATCCCGCGGACGGGCTGCGAGAGCGCAGTTCTGCCCAGCTGCGCCGCCCACCGGGCGCTCGCGCTCAAACCTTTCCCCGAGGCCTTCCGTTTCGCCGCCGCCGCCGCCGCCGGTGCTCTCCGCGCCCACCCTGCTCCCTAGGCACCCCCACTGGCACCCCTGGTTGCTCCGTGGGGTCTTGTAGTCTCACGCCTTCTCCCCTTGCCGCTGTCTCCCACAGCTGGACGCCAAGAAGAGCCCATTGGCGCTGCTGGCCCAGACTTGCTCGCAAATCGGCAAGCCGGACCCGCCGCCCTCGTCGAAGCTCAACTCGGTGGCGGCGGCTGCCAACGGGCTGGGAGCAGAGAAGGACCCTGGCCGCTCCGCCTCCGGTGCCGCCTCCGCGTCTGCGGCGCTCAAGCAGCTGGGGGACTCCCCAGTCGAGGACAAGTCCAGCTTCAAGCCCTATTCCAAGGGCTCCAGCGGCGATTCCCGTAAAGACAGCGGCTCATCCTCTGTGTCCTCCACCTCTTCCTCGTCCTCCTTGTCCCCGGGAGACAAGGCAGGCTTCAGGGTCCCCAGCGCCGCCTGCACGCCCTTTCCCCCGCATGGAGCGCCAGTCTCCACGTCGTCGTCCTCGTCTTCGCCCGGTGGTTCCCGGGGCGGCTCCCCGCACCACTCTGACTGCAAGAACGGCGGCGGTGGGGGTGGCAGCGCGGAGCTGGACAAGAAAGACCAGGAGCCCAAGCCCAGCCCGGAGGCTGTAGCCGGCAGCCGCGGCAGCAGTGGGGAGCCTGGCTCACACGGCGGCGGTGCCGAGGTCGGCGCCTCTGGGCGCAAGTCGGAGCCGCCCTCGGCGCTGGTGGGGGCCGGCCATGTGGCGCCGGTGTCACCCTACAAACCGGGTCACTCAGTTTTCCCGCTGCCACCCTCCAGCATCGGCTACCACGGCTCCATCGTGGGCGCATACGCCGGCTACCCGTCTCAGTTCGTGCCTGGCCTGGATCCTAGCAAGTCTGGCCTCGTGGGAGGCCAGCTGTCGGGGGGCCTGGGCCTGCCACCCGGCAAGCCCCCCAGCTCAAGCCCACTCACCGGGGCCTCCCCGCCCTCCTTCCTGCAAGGATTATGCCGCGACCCCTACTGCCTGGGAGGTTACCACAGCGCCTCGCACCTTGGTGGCTCCAGCTGCTCCACTTGCAGCGCGCACGACCCAGCCGGGCCCAGCCTGAAGGCCGGGGGCTACCCGCTGGTGTACCCCGGGCACCCGCTGCAGCCCGCCGCGCTCTCATCCAGTGCCGCCCAGGCCGCGCTCCCAGGCCATCCCCTCTACACTTACGGCTTCATGCTGCAGAACGAACCGCTGCCACACAGCTGCAACTGGGTAGCGGCCAGCGGGCCCTGCGACAAGCGCTTTGCCACCTCAGAGGAGCTGCTCAGCCACCTACGGACTCACACGGCCCTGCCGGGCGCAGAGAAACTTCTGGCCACCTACCCTGGGGCCTCGGGCCTGGGCAGCGCCGCTGCAGCAGCTGCAGCCGCCGCCACCTGCCATCTGCACCTCCCCCCGCCCTCCGCCCCAGGCAGCCCCGGGTCGCTGTCATTGCGGAGTCCACACACTTTGGGGCTAAGCCGGTACCACCCCTATGGCAAGAGCCACTTATCCACAGCTGGGGGCCTGGCCATGCCATCCCTCCCCACAGCCGGACCCTACTACTCGCCATATGCGCTGTATGGACAGAGACTAGCCTCAGCCTCCGCGCTTGGATACCAGTAACTACAGCTCTTCCTCCCACCTCCTTTCTGACCCTCCCTCCTCCCTCTCCCCAGCCTCCTGGCCTGGCCGCTGCAACCTCCACTACTGCTTGTCCCTGCCAGATTCCCCGCCCAGACCCTCCCCACTGGACTGTGTATTTATTTACTATAATGTTAGCTTACAAGCTGGGAATATAAGTGCATTAACGGCCCACACGAGTCAATGGTATGCAAAAAGTCTGTGTTCCCCCAAATAATATTAATCACACAAGTAACGACATGTTCCCTGCCCCTCTTCCTTTAATTTCTTTCTTAGATATAAGTTTTAATTTTTTCCTTTTTTTTTTCTTTGGTTTGGTTGTAGGGGAACAGGGAGAGTTGGGGTTCTGGGGTTCTTCTCTTTGTTTTGTTCTCCCTTCCTGGGGAGTTTCTTGCATGCTTCTTAACCATTAAAACTACACTTCATTTCCCCCTTTTCCTCTTTCCCCTTCATTCCCCCATTTCCTCCCATTTGAGGTTCTGTTTTTACCTTTGTACATGGAACAGAGAGGAGATATTTTTTGTCATGCATTTGGGGAATGCAAGGAGGGGCCTTCGTGGCAGGAGGTCTTACCTCTTTTGACCCAGAACTCTGCTCTGTGACTTCTCCCCTGCAACCCTCTCCTAGGGTCCCTGGTCTTTGTCCTGGCCCCCCGAATTAGAGCCTTTCTCCCCTACTTGCTCTGAGCGCGGACTGAGAGAGGGGCCCCAGTGGCCTAGGACAGAGCCCTTCTACTTCCAGGCTTTTCAGGCCCCAAACAGCCAGTGGTCACACTACCCGCTGGTGGGGGCCTGTAGGGCTCATCCTACTCGATTAAAAGTCCTAGGAGGGCTTGCTGGCATGATACTTGGCTCTCTATATTTTGCGAAGTGCTTTTATAGTCGTTGTTTTTCTCCGTTATTGGGGTAGCGGTCCCTCTCCTGGCGGTGGGGGTGGCGTCTGTGATCCTTGCTAGATTCCTCCAAAGCAGACCAGTGGCCCCATCTGCGGGCAGTACAACCTTTTAGCTCCGTTGGGGGAAGATTGGGCAGCAAGGGAGCACACATATTTCAATAGCCCCCTTCACCCCTTCCCAGGCCAGACCCAACAGATTCCCCAAAGTTAGGGGCTTCCTTGGGCTCCCTCAGTGACTGGGATTGAAGACTCAGCCCCTGGGTCTTCTTCCCCACACCGTTCTTCTTCCTGGTCTTGCGCAGCATCGCGGGGGCTGCGGGGCCTATTTGGGATGAATAGAGCTCTCCCTTGGTAAGACTTATTTTGTTAATAAATGAAATACTTGGCTATATTCACACCGTGGTGTGTTTCTCTCTTGCCTTACCCACCACCCCACTTCCAGATACCTAAGCAGATGCCTTTCTTTTATACTTGTTTAAAATATCTTACAGTTTCCTTCTCAGATTTCCATGCACGGACGAGTTTAATGCCTTTCCTCGAGAAAGGGGGGAGAAAAAAAACTGCCAAGGCATTACGAATAACATAAAACCACCTTTATTTTTTTTTTATTCTACTTGGTTATTTAGCTACCAGCCTCACTTCAAAGACCTTGACATTTCCTGGGGACAGGGTGGAGAGAGAGTGTAAATGTGGATTTTTCCTCTGGGCCTAGGTTCGAGGTTAGATGGGTTGAGAAGGGAACCAGGTCCCAGGGCTCAGACTCCTGGCTGCACAGTCCGAGGCCTAAGGGTGAGCCAAGACGACGTGCCTCTGGCGCCACCTGGTGGCAGACAGAGACTGGCGCCATCCCCGACGGCTCGTTAAGCGCTTCCCATTCTAAATGCAGGGGTTTTCCTCTTCCCTGACGACGCTTTTATGCATACGAAACCAAAGGGTAAAGGCACCTGCTTGAAGGGGTGCTTCACAAGGCTTGAAGGCTCCCCGAGGTCAGCGCTGGCTTGTCCGCCCCAGTCATCTGCGCTCCCAGAGACTTAACGGGGTTTGGGTTTGGCTGAGAAGGCGCGGCGATTGCTAGGGACCTTGAAGCCACTCCACGTCCCTGTTTTCTTGATCTTGCACGACTGACACTGACATCTCGCCCTCCGGCAGGAGAGGGTGGGGTGCCGTTTATTAGGCAGGTGGGACGAGGATGGAACACCTCCCCACGACGCGGGGAGCCCCCGAGGCCGGGAGAGAGGGTCGCCGGCTGCGGGAGGGGGTGGCCCCCAGCCGCGTCCTCCCCGGGGCTCGCTGACTCCCGGGACCCAGCCGGGCACCTGCCGAGACCCGCCCGGCGCCTGTCCCCGCGACCGGACCCCGGCGCCCGGCCCCTCAGCATGGCCTTCCTCGCCCCCTCCTGGCTGCGCTCGTCTGCGTCCGGGCCGCGCGGCTTCGGGATCTGTTGTTGCTGTTGTGTTGTTTGGCTTGGCTTTTTCTGAGGAATGAGACCCATCGGGCAGTTCGTGCTCCGCAATTCGTGTGCTTCTGGAACATCTGCAGACCCGAGGTCAAGGGCGGAAGGCGGGGCAGGGATGCTGGAGTCGCTGAGCGGGCGTGAGCCTCCCGGGGCGTCCCGTCCTCCGCACTTGAGCGCCCCTGGGCATAAGGTGTTTTTGTGAGGTTGGGGGTGGGGGAAGGTTGCATCTATATCTTCGATTCTGGGCAATATCCCTTCACCAGTCAAGAGAAGCTCGGGCTTCTGCAGATACGGTGGGCGCTGGCCACCATAAAACCCTAAGCGTGCCTCTGGGAAAGGGCCCAGGGCAGCTGGCGTCGCGGGGCCCCAGGGACACTGAGTCAGTGAGAGACTAAATATGTCGCCCGAGACCAGCTCAGCCTCTTCCTGAGGAATCATCATTCCCCAATTTCTCAGAGTTCAAACTGGCCCGAATCTTTAAAAGACCTGAAATGTAGTGACTTGCACTAATTTTCTTTTTCCTCTGTTGCTTTGTGTGCCGTCGGTTATTTGCTTCCCACCTTCCCTTTCTCTCAAGTCCCCCCCTCTTCTGAAGCACCTTTGAAATTCCTGCTAAAACTGCTGGGAATTGCTCCCCCTGCAGGGGGACTGAAACTTTCCTCTTTCTTAAACCGCAGGGTCTTCAGACCTGCCTACCCGAGGACCACTAGGCTCCCCTTACTGGGACCAAACCTAGGAAGACTAACTCCAGTAGCAAACTCTCCGGGTGGCAAAAGATGCTTTTCTGTGGCTGCTTGGCTTCCAATGAGGTTTCAGAATGCAGGTTAGACACTCCAAACCAGAAAGGAGCCCCCTACTACCATAGTGGCAACAAAGAGTAGGTCCTGTAGCCTGGAGTGTCTCAGTTCTCACCCGGAAATGTCAGCCCTCCCCACCATAAATGGGTGGCATTCCTAACAAATGTAGCTGTTTTAATTAGCTGGTGGGGAGTTTGTTACTTTCAGTAGCTAAATTCTCATTAAACAAAGTTGCTGTTTTAATAGAGATAATACTCCCCCACCAACTGTTTAATTTGCATAATTAATTCACCCAGCAACTCTTTTCTTTGAGAAGCACCTCCACCTTCTCTTTCTCCACCTTCTTCTCATCCTAAGCCTCCTCCCCTTCTTCCTCCTAATCTCTCCCAGGCGCCAGAAATGGGGCCTGTGTTCCTCAGGCACCAGGAAGGGTGGAAGCCACAGAGCTGGAACTTGAGACACTGGACGTTCCTGGCTCCAGGTCATATTTTCACACCTCTTGCCTGGTTATTTTTGTGGCCTCGTGGGCAGCTGTGGGAGGGAGGGAGGAGGAGAGAGAGGGGAAAGGCTCGCCCTCAGGTATAGGTTTGACACAAACAGAATTGTGTGGTGTTAATTTTTAACTTCCCAATCATCCCCCCGCAGACCCGCCTCCTAAGAAGTCTGTAGTCCAGACTGGGGGGGCCTCCGCCATCTTTAGGCAGCCCTAACTGCCTCGCCATACCCCGCATCCTGTAATGCATCTCTTGGTATATGAACTAACTCCTTCCTAATGTATGTCTGGTTTACCGTGGCATTCGTCTTAAAATAGTCCTTTGGCTCTGTGCTTTATTAATCATTCTGGAGGGGAAGCTGCACTCCACTTTTCTGTTTGATTTGATTTCATTCATCCTGTCTTTTTGTAAAATAGATGGTTGAGTGCATCCGATAATGTATGGTTTAATTTGGAGCACTATGGGTTTGAATTACCATTTTCATAATGTGCTGTGCATTAATGTGTTACATCATTTATAAAGAGGAATGTGCTGGGTTTCAAACTTTCTCCTGAAAGCCAAAGTCACCTAAAAGAAACAAAGCCAAATCACACCGACCCATCTTCTTACCTCACTGCCAGAGAAACTCCTGCCTCCCCCACCCGGCGAAATCTGCCAAGGCTCATAAAACCCAACATGAGGCTTTTGTGTTCACATAATGCAGGTGGGTGTCAAGGTTTGGGGGGAACTTGCACATGGCTGCCCAGGAGCCATCAACGGCAGTACAAAGCTTCCCCTCATTATTGCATAACAACAGCTTTGCAGCCAGCCCCGTTTTGCGGAGACCTCCAGTGGACGGCTCTCGACCCTAATCCCAGCACTCCCTCCCCAATGGCTGTAATAACACCAGCTGTCTGTTACTCAAACTCTGACTGAGGAGGAAAAAGCACTGATTATCCAAATACAGTCATTAAAGGGGAAATGTGTTTTTAGGACTGTCAGAGTGATTAATGAGGGCTAGCCGTCTTTGCAAATGCACTTGTTTAGTCTAACTGGCAGCTTCTATTTTCCTATTGATTTATTGCAGCCGTTGCCGGGCCTTGGTGTGTGCGAAGTCAGGGCACTTCACAACTGTGCCCTGTTTAAACAGGAAAAGCATGCACCATTTTGTCCGGGAGGGAGGGAGCAGCCCAAAGTCTCTCCCTTCAGTTCAATCTCCAGGGCCCCAGACCAACAAAGAAGACATTAAAAACCTGCAGCCCAGAGAGGGAAGGAAACTGCCTCCCCTGGGTTGTCCCCGGTCACTCAGTTCCAAGGTCAGTGGAGACGCACCATGGCGCCTGGACAAAGCCTGCCCTATTGTCACACTCAGCATGCCCACATTTTCTCCTCCAGTCCCCCCAAACCACCTGTCAGCCACGGAGTCCAAGTACAGGAAGGGCACCCAGCAGAGGGGGAGGCAGGGGAGGGGACTGACGGGCAGGGCCAGGCAAAAACAGAACATGAAGCAACCCCCATGGCCCCAGGGTGGGAACAAGGTCAGGGGCCTTGCAGGAAATTGATTAAGCCCAATGGGTGATTGCAACTTCTAAAAAGAGGTGGGGGGTCCACAAGAGAGGTAGCTACTTCTTTCCACTTGTACAGTTTATATTTTGACAAATGATGTATCTAATGGCCAAAAGAGAGAAATGGCAGCTTGGAAACAGAGTCCCAGTATTTGGGATTATACGTCCAGGCAGTCAATCATCGCGGCAAACAGAATGTACAGAATTCCTGCTACATGCTCCGCACAATGCTGGATGCCGGGAGACAGAAGGAAACTCAGACAAAACTCCCACCCATTCTTCTTGGGGGAGACGAGACATTGCCCGGGAGACAGGGAGCAAGAAAGCATTATGCATAACTGCATTTGGGCCGATCTAATAAAGCGCTAAATCCTTCTGTGCAGACAGTGGAGAATAGGACAGGATATGATAAGGTGCTAATTGTGAAGATCAGATGGTCGGGCTGCAGGAGCTGGAGGGCGGGGGCGCTTACTGGGGCCGATGTTGGGGACCTTCCCATGGGAGCGTCAATCTGTTGGGAGGCTCCCCAGTTCCCCCTGGGCTGGAAAGATGGCTGAGGCCTTCATTCCAGAGTGGTGAGAGGGCTGGAACTTGGAGCCTCTGAGCCCGTAATTTCCATTTCTAAAGCAGATCAAGGAACAAGCTTCACTAATGTTGTAAACAACACATCTGAATTTTCTTCCACCCGCCCTCTCCAGGCAGCTACACCTTCCACAGAGCATTCCAGGCATGGAAGTGGTTTGTACTCCTTCCTAAACGAAGTGCCTTTCCAAGTTCTCCCAGGGTGGTGGCGCATCACCAGCATTATTAACACTTCCTAAAACAGGAAAAGCTGTCAGTGAATTTGGATCACAAATGAACTGGGAAAACTGTCTCTTAAGAAAAAAAGAAGTGGAACCTGCTGGCTGAGAAAAAAATGAAGTGACCATATTTTATAAACTTCAAAATGGAGCCAATGGTATAAGTGCTTTGGCGAACTTTAGGACTATCCTAGACAGTTCAGGAAGCCTGGTCATTGTACGTATAGTAGAAAGAGCATTAAAATGAGAGTCAGAAAATCTGGATTTTGTTCTGGTTCTGAAAGTTAATCGCTTTGTGACCTTGAGCAAGTCATTTAATCTCTCTGAGTCTCTTTTCCCGTTTCTGAAATGAAGCCATTGAGCCCTATCGTCTTTAAGTCCTTTCTAACTGGAATAGCCTCTGAGTTGGTAAATGTTTAAAGA